ACCACTTATGTATGCTTTGAGAACATTAAATTGTATTTGCTTTCAATTCGCGGTTGTGGCGCACTTGATGGCTTTTTCATAGACACTAGATAGATGCTGGTGATAATGTTTACAAAATACGCTACACGTTAATATATATGTATATTCATACCTTTATATATACTTTCAAACATAGCTAGTAATCGTAACCTACAGTTTATGTGAAAGGTCAGCTTTTTGGTATTTTGAATTAATACCTGGATCAGTGCAAAGGCTGAGATTTGTCAGGTAACAAACAGATTTTCGTGCGCTTCAACAGGTTAGAAATCTGCTCTTAAGCTCAAAATATGTGTATATTTAAAAATTCAATAATATCAAATATAATTCAATAAAATGAGCAATGAGCAAGATTTTAAAAATAAAGTTTAAAGAGAAAAGATGCACATCAATTATTCAACATTTTTTGCGTTTCAATTAAATATGAAATTCAATTTGGCTTTAACTTTTAAATATAGAAATATATACACATTTAAAATAATATTATTCGAATAGCGCATTACATGAATCGCCCTTTCTCGATAAGACTTACAAATTTACGCACCAATTGAGGCAACATTTTCAAAATTTTAAAAGTCAACTAATTTCGAGTTTTTTTGGAAATTGTTTAATGCACTGCATTCAAGGGCAATTTCAATTTCATGACTAGTTTTCGAGTGTACTCGTATCTCAAGAAATTCTGATGCTGGAGACGTAGCTGCGATTAACTGATGTTTAGATTTTGATGTGCAGCCAATGTTTGCTTGCTTATTGGCAAACTTTTCTAATAGCCAGAACGTAAATAGTTGCTACTACAAAATTTATATGTGGGTCAAGTTTTATGCGCTAGCTCGACTGCACTTTGGCCAATAAAACTTTCATCATTGCGCGCTCACAAGTCAAGTGAGGCTGCCACTGCCGCTGCTGCCGTTGCATCTTTGGCGAATTAAAAATGGAACATCGGGCTGGGCAACTTTGTAAGGACACCAGCAGGCGGCAGAAGCAGTGGCAGTAACAGAAGCAGAAGCAGAAACAGTGGTAGCAGCAGTTGCAACACCAGTGGCAGCAGCAGTAACAGCAGCTGCAGCAGCAGTTGCAGTTGTCCTCGCATAACAATGCCACAGTCGTTGGCAATTTTGCGTAACTGTTCGTCGTTCTGGTTCGTTAGGGTCGGCAGTCGTACGCTGCATAAACTTCGCCCGGGAGCCCAAAAACGGATGTCACTGCAGATAATGTTGCATCAAATGCTTGCTCGGCTCGCACGTGTGCCAACTCTCAACACCCAGCAGTCCCCTCTCCCCTACTCTGTCAGCTACTTTGTTTGTGGAATTGTCATGACATACCTGTGCCCATTTGGCCCCTTCAGCAGAGAGTGAAAAAAAGGCATGTCGGAGAACAAAGTTTTCGGCTGAACGTATAGTAGTTGGTGTTTTTGTTGATTGTTGCCTTGGTTGGGTTCGGTTCGGTTCGGTTCGCATTGGTTTGGTTTGGTTTGGCATGGTTTGGCTCGGTTTTGGTTTTTGGCTTTTGTAGCATAAATTTTCATTGTCTGTCGCTGCAACTATTTGAAATTCAGTGGTAGAAATTAAATTTCGTATGCTCGCTGGCTTTGCGCTTCAATAAACTTTGAAGCTGGCAATGACAGTTCCATGATACGACCACCAATTCCTGTCAAGGCTTGATATTAATTTGAAACGTGTATGTGTCACAATTGAAATAGTTGTGGGCGTTGCGGTTGCATGCACATTGATGTTCGTCAAACAAGAGAGCCTTTGTTAAGATTTCAGTTGCATCAATTAAGGTGATTGTTGGGGTGTTTTTATACCCTGTACCCAAAAGGGTACAAGGGTATATTAGTTTTGTGCGAGTGCACATGGAACACACAGAAGGAGGCTTGGTAGACCCCACAAAGTATATATATTCTTGATCAGCATGACAAGCCGAGTCGATATAGCCATGTCCGTCTGTCCGTCTGTCCGTCTGTCCGTCTGTCTGTCCGTCTGTCCGTCTGTCTGTCTGTATGAACGCAAGGATCTCCGAAAGTATAAGAGCTAGAATAACCAAACTTGGTATACAGATTCTCCTGAGACCGAGAAAGGACGAGTTTGTTCATTTTTTCTGATCCACCCCCCCACTCCCCCCCTATTAACGATTTTCTATAACTTCCGTAATTCTTAGAATTTTGAACTAAAATTTGGTAGTCACATTAGGTTAGTTATTATATAACTGTATACCAAGTCTCATTATGATAGAATGATCGGAAAGAAAGTTATAGCCATATAACCAGGCCCAATGCACACATACATACATATGTACAAGTACACAAACACGCATAAGGCACGATTCTGATGTAAATGTAAATGTATGTATGCATGCATGGAATATTTTATATTTAATTTAGTTAATTAATTAAATTAATTTAGTTAATTAATTAAATTTAATTAATTAATTAATTTAATTACTTTTTTGTGGGGTGGTACAGGGTATTTAAGAGTTGAGCCTGCTCGACTTTAGCATTCCTTTCTTGTTATTAGCTGAATCGGGGGAAAAACAATCAAACATACTATTCGATGCAATGATGATGAAAGTCAGGAATAAGTGCTTTATCAATTAATTTAGATTTAAACATTGATTATCTTTTAATTTCAAGAAAGGTTGACTTATATCTTTCAACTCTTTTTTTCTTTCTAACTCATTCTGTATTCTGAATAGAATAAGCTTATCCTACAGAGTAACTGAATTGATCAAAGTTTCGAAGGCATGTATAGAAAATGTTGATTCTCTCCTTAAATAGTGAATTAATTTATTATGTTGATCAGCAAAAAAAAACTTTCGACTTTCAAAAGCCGTTTTTGTTAAACAGCATGTAGAGAGCGGAATTTCATACAAAATCAATCGCCGTTGATTGCTGCATTTTATTTGAATTGCATTTAAATGCCAGCGGGATGCAATAAACGCTGGGCATTGCATATTTTTCTTTGTTTAAATAACAAAGCAGCTGAACATTGATTTAAAAAGGATGTGCTCTCTATACTCCAAAGCCATAATTTGCTGACCCCCTATGGCACTATGTGATGTAGTCTTGTATTTTAAATTGCCTGTCAGGTTAAGCAACAAACCGTTTGTTTGCGCAACTCTTGGCCAACCAATGCTTGTTAATAAAAAAGAAGATATTTGCCAGCGGCAGCATGAAGCTTCACAACTGATTGACAATAGCAAGTGTGATGGTGCGGTGGTGCGCTGGCTGACTGGTTGGGTGGTTGGGTGGTGTTGGTCACAACATTGGCGCCTGCGTTGATGGTAGGCAATGAAGCATGCAAACATGAAAGGAAACAATGATGAGGCAGCTACAAAGGCAACAGCAATGGCAAAAACAACAACAACAACAACAATGGCAACCACAGGCGTTCACATGTATACGAATACACACACATTCAGTAAATTGTCTGAAAGCGGTAGCGGATGTTGATTGACTTTTGTTTAAAATTTTACATACGGAAGTTTGATAAACGAAAAATGTGCGCTCGCATTGCCAATGTTATGTGCCGTTGTTCCTCTTGTTAGATACTAGCTAGCTTTAAGTTAAGCCAAGCGCACCAAACAAAAAGAACACCAAAAAAATAGCGTTACAAATTTGCATAGCAGCCCAGCAAGCGCTTCCATTTGTACTTCTGTTTGGCATACGCTGCGTATGCGCAACATGAGCAAACGAAATGGCAAACAAAATGACTTCGAAAAGACATCAGGCAGCGAAAAAAATGCAAAAATAGAAATAAAAAAGACAGTCGAAAGTGCCATGTCGTTTGGCAGCCTTGCCTAGGCAAATAGCTTGATTAGGGTTAACGGGCGTTGGCTTAAAAAATAATTATTATTGGTACAGACGACTGATGTCGCGCAGCACAGCTTTGGCGCACGTTGCCAATTCGATTTGATGGGCGCACATTTTCACGGCCAAACGAATTCGACAGCAAGGCAGGTAGGTCTGGTAGCCATCCTGCTAGGCAGGTAACTAGAAAGGCACAGAAGCACATTAGAAATCCATCGAGTGTTGTTCCTCAAATCGCAAGTGTCTTTGCTTAGCGATTGAGGGGAGGAATCCCCTACGGTTTCTAATCAAGCAAAGAATAATTTAATTTAGCAATAAAATAATAATATGCTTCATCATACTTATACGAGTTTGTCATAAAGGAAGATCTTTAAAATATCTTCCTTCCTTTTAGTTTTGAAACCTATATGAAAACTGTAAATTAATTACACCCTTTTTAAAAATCACAGCGATTTACAAATCTTGCAAAGAATAGTGTAATCTAGTACTACAATAATTATGTATTCCATGCTTCATCAAATACTCTGATTTGTTATAAAAGAATAGCCAAGAAAGTGTTCAACAATTAGGATTACATTTTCTAATTTTACATTTATAAAGCTTTTTGAAAACCGCATAGTTTTATTGCGAACTACAAGTAAAATTAGGAAATTCATTCGACCAGTTTTAGAAATCACAGCGATTGAAGCAAACTATATGTTTACAAATCATGCAAAGAATAATATAATCTAGTACTAAAATAATTATGTATTCCAGGCTTCATCATACATTCTAATATGTCATAAAAGAATAACCAAGAAAGTGGTGAAGAATTAGCATTAAATTTTACATATAATTTCTGAATTTTCAAATTCGAAAACTATTAGAAATCTTTAAAGTTTTATGTGAACTTAAATAACGAAATGAATAAGATCCTTTTTAGAAATAAGCGATTTCTGGGCTTGAAGGAAATCTCAGTCAACACTGATGCTGATAAATAGCAATAAGTACAGTTGTTGCCTTTGCCATTGTGGAGCTTAGCCGACACCCAAGTTGCTGAAGTTGTTGTCAATGCTGTTGTTGTTGTTTTGTTGTTGTTGTTGCTGTGAAGCACTCAAGCTTGGCGCTTTTGTAGCTGCGGCTCAGCGCACTTGGCTTTAAACGTAAAGAGTAGGTAGTGTAAGCTGCTTTACTTTTTTATTTTGTCTCGCTTCTCTTTCTTTTCTTTTTTTTTTTGTATTAGGATAACATAAAGGCTTAGAGAAGTTGTTTTAAGAATAAAAAAAACACCAGGCGCGAGCTGAAGATTTTATGCACGTTTGCGACAACGTCTGCCAAACATCTCCGCACCCCACCAGCATCTTTGTTTCGAGTCCATGAGCAGTTCAGCGGTCAATGCCGTGTCCAAATTCTCGTTCAATATGGTCGCACAGCTTGTGCTGAGGAGGAAGGGGCGCTCGAGCTGTTGCTCCAGCCACTGACAATAAGCCAACTTATTTGGCGTACGCTTCAGCTCTAGTTCGATCATCTCCATGGCATTGACATTGGCCACTTGGCCAATGCTCCAAGTGAGCTGCTGTTGACCAAGTAGTGTGAGTGTGAGTGTGGCAAGCAGCAGGCAAGTTGTGTGCATTGCAAGGCACCGGACACGACTAAGCTGCACCGATGCTGATGGCAGTTGTCGTGCCAATGGCAGAGGCGGCCAACGTAACAGCTGTTTATAAAACTCAACGCACATAAAACAGTGACAGCACAAGTGTTTGTGTTTATACTTGTAATTGTGTTTGCACTTACGCTGCGTGTGTGTGTGTGTGTGTGGGTGTGTTTGTTGTGATTTAGTTACAATTTAATGGCAAGTACGCGACTGTTGCGACAATTAGCCACAAATGGCGCCCAAGTGGCTCATTAGAGTGTTGATGGCCGGCCCATCGATGCCTTTCCGAATGCGTGCGTAGGCATTACAGTTTTAGGCACATAAGTCAGTCTATATAATATATTTGACATTGAATTGAATTATTTATAACGTGTAAAGATTGTGATTAATGGCATACAATTTTTTCCCCATTGCAGCTGATTTAATTTATGAATTAATATCAACTTCACTTTTTCAACGAACATTTACCAATAAAATTGCAAGCAGTCTGCAAAAAATTAAATATACATGTGTTTGTGAAAGTTATAAGCAAATTGAAGGCCAAATACAGGCAGACTGTTTGCGTGAAATGGGAATGTCTGTAATGTGTTGTCATGCCACATTTTTGTTATATTTAAAATACTGGAATATTTCAAATTATATAGAAAACATTATAAATTTTTAATGCAATAAATACCTGCATGCATTTACAATGTTGAATCTTTTATTTGTAAGCAATTATTATAATTCATTTGTCACATATTATTTGAAAACAATATTGTTCTATAACTGTTAACGAACGCTCTTCACTTTAAAAATTATTTTCAGTTTTTCAGAGTATCTACATTTCGTGGAACATATACATAGTTTTCACTTGATTTCAGAAAAAAGTTAACATGCACATAAGTCATAAGTGGCTATTGGAATAAAATACAATTTTCTCCGATTTTTTTTACTTTGCTCGCATTTCACGCAAAATTGGTTTTACGTTTTTCACACCTCTCACATTTTCACACATTACTGGTTAAAGTCAATTCTGTTTTTTCCTCATTTCTTTCTGCACACTTTCATTACGCGTTTGTTTTTTGTTTTTTTTTTTCATTCTTTCTTTGCTGTCTGTTGACATTGGCTCGAAATTGCATTCGCTGCCGCAGTCACCAACTGGCCAGTATTCACATCTATATCCACATCCGCATCCGCGTCGACTGATGCATCCAATCGAGCGTAAATTGCCCGCCGTTATATTATTTAATAACGTACCGGTCGCAACTTTGTAGTTGCATGTAGTTGTAGTTGTATTTGTAGCTGCAGTTGCATTTGTAGCCGCAGTCCCAGCATCTGACTGGCCAGCCGACCTGTCATATTTGCAACACCAAAGTTTTTTGCACGCATTGTAAATTGCCAGAAGCATTGAAAATGTGACAGGCCATATAAATAAATTGCGTTGTGTGAAAAGCTGTAAATTGCACATTTTCAACTTAACTTTTTGCGATTACATTCACAAAAAGAAGAGCGTTATCTGTGGCAATATCTGGCAGAAAAGGAAGGGGTGCCTTAAAAAGGTAGGCCATAAGTTGTACTTTAATCATTTTTGTATTCTAGAAAATTGTTGAGTGGTCAAGTATAAGATGAGAAATTATTTAATAAAGTAGTAAATTCAATAAGACGGCAGTAATTAGTGCTAAACTTTTTTACTTTTACTGCCAAAATCAAATGTATGTAAATATCAGCGCTGTTATCATAAACTAATTATTGTTTGCATTAGAATTGTTTTGCTTGTCACATAACCTAACTTCATAAGCAATTATCGCTTGCTATTTGTATCAACACCTAGCTGTAATATAACAGACCGTTATTTGGCTGCGTCTGCAGTGCTCTCTGGCTCTCATCAACACCGTGTAATATGGCAACGCTCTTTTGCTCTCTTTCTATGCGGCTGATCTGCAAATGCAGCTACACTGTTAGGGCCTGGCACTAGCCGAGGTCAGTCTAGAGTTTTCTATAGACACGCATGGTGCAGGGGCTCTTATCGACTCGCATAATTAGTTGTTGTTGCTTATCTACGCCTACACGCCTTTAAAGCTTCTCAAAAGGAAAATACAAAAATGTTTGAATCTTGTGGAATTTTTTATTATTTTATTTGATTTTTCTATTACCATCACAATCAAATTAAAGTTTATTAAATGTGGGTGAAATGTAACACCCAACAAAATGCTCAAAGAGGTCCAGTTTTTCTTTAAACATTAAAAAACGCCAGACGTTTCACAGAAGTTGATACACTTTCGTCATGCACTTCATTTCCACCAAAAAATCATCTATATATACAAATGTATATAAATATATATATATAGTATGCACATATCTCTGACCATTTCAAGCAAAGTCCACCACCATTTCTATAGCTGCTATTTGATTTGACGAGAGACTAAGAAACCTTTCAGACTTTTTTATTATAATTATAGTAGTAGTATAGTATGTTCATGCCTCTGACCATTTCAAGTCCACCACCATTTCTATAGCTGCCATTAGATTTGATGAGAGGCTAAGAAACCTTTCAGGCTTTCTTTATAATAACTATTACGTTCGGGGTCTCCGCTGTCCATGCTCTAAATTCCATTATATACTTTTGTCTAGCGCATAAATCCTTAATGTTAATTCACTTAAAAATTGCCACCAGTCGTTGCTTGTAGTTCACAGCAGGCGGCATCGCCGACTGTCAAATCACAGCGTGAAATTCATTTGGATTAAATTAAGGATTAAGGTAACTTTCTCAACGGCATGCCAAGGCGTGTATACTCCGAAGAGTAGATATATATTGCCGTTGCAGCAAAGCAAATGCTGTAGCAGGAGCTGGCAAAGAAAAAGCGCCAACAGCCAAAGCATTTTTACAACATTTTTATGCCATTTCTGTGCCACTCAGCGCCAATGATGAAGCAGCCAGCAGCACTGCTCATAGTACACTTAAGTATTTAAGCAAATTTAAAAAGTTGTTAAGCCCCATAATGAAGCAATTTCCAGCATTGTGCAGAGCACGTGCTCAAACTTCTACAAGACGCTTAAATTGTACTGCTCACTGGACTTCTTATTGACTTTTGTCTCGCTGTCTGTCTGTCTGTCTGTATGTCTGTCTGTCTGTCTGTCTATCTGTTTGTGTGCGACTATTGCAGGTGAAGGTGATAATGTTAAACATTAAGTTGAACTCATTTGATTCCGTCCATTAATAGCTTTCACATAGACTGTTTTAATTAGCTGCAGCCAATTACTAGCCAACGCAAGTATATTTATTGATATAACATTTTTGTTAGACAAAAGTGGCTTGATAAGCAAAGTTATTTTAAATTATTGGTTATGCCAGGCAAATAAATGTTGTACCCTGCAAGGCAATCTTTTAATCGTTTACTGAACAATTTTTTGGAATTTTTTTAATATACTTTGGGAAACGATTTAGTGTCGGGAAGGTCTGTCTGTAGTTTTAATATGTGAAGAGACGATTAATTCATTTATTAGGCAGTTTCTAAGTCTTATATCTTAAGTCGTACATTTTCTATAACTTTTTTTTTATCACGTATTATCAATTGACTTGCAGTGACTAGTGTATGTATACTCGGAGAAGGTATTATTAGAACATAAAATAAAATGGCTCGGCTTGCGAGGGCGCAAACCTGAAGAGCTAATGACTCAAAGCGTACAGTAGGAGCGAGCACAGAAGCTGCACGATAATGAGCGCCATGTGGCACGCGCTTAATGTTCTTTATGACTGTGGCAGAGGAGAGAACACGGTAGTCATTTCGCTATTCTATGTATACGGTTTCTGTGTTACAACTCCATTAAAGTCGCGCCTATTGAGGCCCAAAATCCTGCGACCACTTGCCCAACCCCAGTAGGCAAAAAAACACACACTTCTATATAGAAGGTACAATAAACCAGCAGCAACATTTGTTTACAAGAACACAAAAGGAAGCCACAAAAGGCACCTGCTGTAGCAGGACTCGAAACGGAATGTTGAATAACGAATAACAACAGTAACAACCGCTATGGCAACGAAGAGACATGCAGAAATTAAAAACCCTCAACAGAAAAATTCAATTACATAATTTTGACCTTTTCTCAGCTATAACTTTGTTGTTGCCACTGTTGCTACTTTTCTACATTTGTTTGTTTGATTTGAATGGTTTCATTTTTAATTTAAATAACGTCCATGAATAGGCACTGTTGGGCACCCCTGGTCCGCTGGTCATAAACGCTGATTAAAGCGCATGAATAAAACAAGTGAACTGTATGTTGTCGGAATGAGCGGTGAGCGGAAATGAGATGAGATGAGATGAGGTGAGCAGAGCAAAGCAGAGCAGAGCAGAGCTGAGTGGTTGTACAAAGTGCAAAGAGTGGTGACAGCCACTCGGTGGTGTTCAAAAGCTGTAAAGAAATACAAGGCAATGTAACGAAAATGGCAGTCAGTTGTTTATTGCCAAAAGGCAATGCATTAGCGGCATTACGGGCAACGGGTCGTATGAGTAATGGATGAAGAATAACAATAAAATGCGACAAAATTTCAAAAATGTACTTATTTGCTGTCATTGAACACAAATATTGATGTGAATGTTGAGGCATTGGAGCTTATAAAAATGTTGCTACATATTTGAAGTGTCTGTGCCATTATAAATAAAATAATTGTAAATACAATAGATATAATAAATATAAATTTATAAATAAAATAAATGTAAGTACTTCGATATAATAAATATAGTCGCATACAAGGAAATAAGATTACTGTTTTCAATTTTAATTTGAAGTAAAGTGGAACTTATTACCATTTTAAATACTTTAGATTAAGTGCTAGTCGAAGCTAGCATTGAAGCTTATAAAAATGTTGCTACATATTTAAATAGTCTTGCCATTATAAATAAAATCTATGTAAATACTATATATATAATAAATACAGTCGCAAAGAAATAGGATTATTGTTTTCCATTATATTTTGAATTAAAGTGGAACTTATTACCATTTTAAATACTTTAGAT